TTCAATCTTGAAGAAAATATGTAGATTTGTATATTTATTTATAAGTTTTCTAAAATTAATATTAAAAAAATCTCAAAAAATAAACTTAAATTGATATTATCAATTTTAATAATTTGATATAAAATATATTTATGGATAATCATTTTTAAATTTCAAATTTTAAATAACTAAAAATAGTTACTTGTAAAAATGATAGATCTATTTAGGTATGATGTATAGGGTTGAATTCATGTGAAACCAACATATTTTTGTGAGACAGGTGAAACCACTTTTTTACACTTGAAACTTCATAGCTAAACGCTGTGAATGTAAAAAACAACCCGAACTTTTACATCAAAAACACTGTGAAAGTTACTTTCACATCGTTTCGCTATGAAGTTTCAAGTGTAAAAAACGGGCTCACGAAAACAGGTTGGTCTCACGTGATCCCAAATCATGATATACAAATGAACGTAATATTTGAAATTATTTGAGATCCCTCAGGTTTTTTGGGATCTTTATGAACATTTAGGAATGATACGATGATCTTCCTAAATATTTGCAACAAAATTATATATCGTGTTTTTATATTAAAAAATAATTGAATATGCATATGCATATGAAATACACAATGAACCTTCACAGTAAAAATATACCAGACATCCAACATATATTAAACCTTCACAGATATTTCACGGAGTCGTGAAATTAAGTGATCGTCTCAAAACCTAAAGAAAATAAAATTTCATGACATTTGTATTTAATTATATTATCATATAATTGTCTTTAAATGTTTATTTAATTCCATTTAAATATAAATAAAAGATTTTACAGAACATTATTTAAAAAACATATCAAGTTTTACTTTAATCATATCGGTATTAGATACCAAAATATAGTTTCATCAAATTTTAGAACTTTAGGGGTTGTTTGACAATTGCTGAATGGTTTGGTGCATAATGATTAAGTGGTCAAAATGATTAAGAGGCTCTCATAATATAATGCAAAAAGAAATATAATTGTTTGATAATTGTATACAATGAAATTAGGGCTCTTAATGGTTAAGGGAGATCCATGATACAAAATCATTCAGAGAGTTTTAGAACCATTAAGAGGCAGATTTTTTTTTGTCAAACAAGATTCAGCTCTTAACGATTCAGAAATTGTCTCTTAATGAAATTATTAAGAGATAAACAAACAACCTCTTACTTCAGTTATAAAAATGGTGGATGATTTTGTCCAAATATAAGACAGGTTCCGGATCTGATTCTAGATTTCTCGCTAGTCTCAACCGCTGAGTGAGTCAAAAAATATCCTTATCACATTTGTGTCTCTGAAAACAGGTTCCTTGTGTGGTCGGTTGGAATTATCAGCAATCAGCTTTTTACCCAGATTTTTGAATCTTAAAATGAAAATTTTACAAAATATGGTACGATAAATACACGAGTGACTGATCAAAATGGTCGATCTGTCCAGTCAAATTCACTTTTTAGTCATTTTTGGAATCAAATTTTTGTTTTTTTTTTCTTCTGATTAAAATAAAATTCAATTAGTAGAAAGGGTAAAAAGGTAAATTTATGAAGATGAACTATTTTGATAGTTTCCCTAAATATAGACACATGCACACACCCACACAACACATTTCAAGAATTAAAGCGTAGCCACACAGTCAAAGGTCATCACCATTCATTATTTAAATGCTATAAAATAAGTGCCTTTACATTTACTATTTTATTACTAGACTAAATCACAATTTTGGTCCCTATAGTTTAAGTTTTTGTTATAATTAGTCCTTTAACTTTATTTATTATATAAAACTCATAGGGTTTGCACTTTTTTTGAATGTGGTCCTTTATCGTAACATTTGCCCGTTTACCAGATCCATTAAGTCGAGAGCAATATCGTCTTTTTGCCATTTTCCTGCATTTTAAAGGGTTTTTTAAACCTTTTTCTTCTCCAGTTTAAGAAGCAAGAATATTATGAACATTTAACCTCAAACTAATACAAATTCAGGCAAAGCCAATGTAAAATCCAATCGACATCAAGAACACTGAACATAAACGGCAATTTTATACAAGTTAATTCCAAGGATTTATGATAGAAACCCTAAATGAAAAATCTAAATCAAACCCTATATCAAAAACCAAAATCGGTTATCAATGACAATAAGGAAAAAGCAAAAAAATTTGGACTCTCAAGAATCTAACGAGAAAGCAGTTATCTTTGCCTACTCACATCCACTGACCATTTTACCCTCAATTATACAAGATGGATGGCCGAACATAATCAAGAAAATGTGCAAACTATACCCCCTTTACGTAATAAATGAAATTTAGTGATCGATTTCATAGAAAAAACAACCCACAAGGACCAGATTTGTAGTTTACTCTTATTATTAATTGAAAAAAAAAATTCATAAACTATATAATTTAAATATAAATTTTAATCAAACTCATATATATAAAATGGTGAAAAATGACAAAACTTATAATATTATACTGAACATTTGTCGGTTTATTGGTTAAAATAAAATTTCAGATTGTTTCTAAAACGATAAACAAAATTTCATCAATTTCATATGTTCTATAATAATTTAGTTAAAAAGGTTGATTACTAATAATTTCGATCTGTCTAACACTAAATTGTTGATTTCGCAGCTGAAATTAGGGGGTCTTGAATCAAACCTATAATATATCTTGTATTTGATTAAAGTCGTATCACATATTTATCAACTGAAGTACTTGTTAAAGGCCATATATTTTATAATAATTTAGAAATAATTAAATAATAATAATAATTGTTTATAATTAAAATTATTGAAATAATATTTGATGACCAAATTTAGTTGTAACAAACAATGTGATAAGAAGCAAAACCATGAGGAAATATGTGTACAAATGCAAAGCTACGTGTCAATATGTGTAAGACCTTAAATTACACGTGTCATTAATATAACAACGTTGTTTAGCCTGCTCATTAATTTCCTAAACATGCACTAACACCAAAAATACTCCACGTCAGCTTCGCCGGAAAATGAGCGGTAACTGCCGTCATCGCCGCCGTACCGGTAAAAAGAATATTTTCGATCCAATGTTTTCGATGTAAAGTGTACCAACGTCATCCATTTGATTACAGCATGGGCTTTTGAACTTTAGTACAATTTGTTCTCAAATTTCTTTAATTATTTTCATTTATAGCCCTAAAAATTTATTATTAGCTAAATTAGCCCTTGTGTTTTGTGCGTATGTCCAAATAATGAGTGTTGGTTTATATTAGAGTTTCACATTGGTTAGACTTGGACCAATTCTTCACCATATGTATTGGAATCTCCTTTTTGTCGTTAAGAGGTTTTTTGGAGAGTAATATAGTGGTGTTACACATATTTTTACATGATATTAAAGTCAAAGTCAACTAGTATAGGGACTCTACATTCTGGCTATCTGTACCCATCTAGACACTTGGAACAATTGGATGAATTGGGCTTATCACGGGAATTGATCTGATGTATCTTGGTGCACTATTTTAGTGTTGATCTTTAATTATGGATTGATCCAATGATGAAGATCCCTTCATACCCTTCTCATCATAATTTTTATTCTCACCGAAACCCAACTCTGAATCAACAATAGGTTATCATATAATTTTGTTGAACATATCCAAAATCAACTTTATAAAACACTACAAAAATTGCTTACAATGTACTCAAGTTGTAATAATCTTGTACGATTAGTTTAACTGACATGAAGTCTTGGGTCTTTGGGATTTTCTTCAAAGATCTCCAGTTTAAGCCCTGTAGTGCCATTGGTTATTTTTTTGGTTTGTCTCCATAACCCTAAGATTATTCAAGGTACGAACACAAACTGACCGGAATACTCACAAACAAGTTGTCAACCAAAGAAAAATTAATTTACAACAAAATGAAACACTCATTGTGAACATGATTTCATGAGGCTTGTGAGTTTTGATTATTTAACTACTAAGTTAAGTGATATATTTTTAAAATTAAAGGGATTAAAAATGAAAAAGAAAAATATTAAGGGTGTATTGTGTAAATGTGGAGAAAGTTAGAGGATGTGGTCCAGTTGGATTAAAAGGGGCAAAATATTGAGAAATCAAGGTGGGAGGGTGGATCAGTAAATGCCTGCTGTGTTTTTTTACTGGTCAGTGGGTCCCACACACGCGAATAGTTTACGTTTTCTTCTATATACCATGGGACCCACGTCTTTCTGGGTTGACCCGGCTTTCTTCACGTTTAAACCCGTTGAGTAAACTTGAATCCACCCTCTTGTCCAAGTCAAAACCTTATTAATTCCAATTTTCTAAAATAAGGTTTGGAAATATTAAATTTAGAAGAAAAAAAATACATTAAAAATTGATTATATTTTGTCTACTTTTATATTAATGACAAAGAAAAGGATTTTTTTATTTTTATAAAAAAATTATAACCACATTTTTAATTACATCAATTAATCAACTAATTTAACAATGAAAAATTGATGGAAATGGTTCATTTTTCTCACATTAATTGCTTTCTCAGCTAATTTTTTCTGGTTTTATCCAATGCGGAGGTAGCTAAAAGACCAAAAAAATTACAATATCTATCCAGTTCCGTAAGTGACACATTCGCGAATTATGTCCAGGTACACAAGTTAGAGACTTACCAGTTATGGATCTGGGTAAAATTGTAACATTTTTATTATCTTTTAGCTACCTCTTTAAGTTAGGGAGATACCACTTATAAAAGTAGTGACATTCAGATAAACCAAAAAATAAATAATTAAGAGACCAATTGATGACATTCCATTTTACATTTTTTTGGCATTATTATTTAAACCTTTTTCCATAATAACAATTTTAATAATAATTATTTATTTATTTATTTATTCATATATATGTATGTGATAATGGGTCGGGTCAAATGACCCGTATATGAGTTCGGGTTAACCAGGGAGTGTGGATTAGATAACCCAAGGGTTAACCAGAAGCAGTGCACCACCACAAAAGAGGGTTATCTACAGTCATCTTCCCCAAAAAAACTCCAAAATACTTAAAACAATCTCTCTAAACCTTCTTCCCCAATCTCTTCCATCCATGGATCCTTAACCCTTTTTCTCTTAATTACTCCATGGAAATACCACCATCATCACCACCACCCACCACCACCACCACCACCACCAACACCACCACTGCCATCAAAACCCTTGATCCTGATACTCGGATCCAACCCAATACCATCCCAAAACACCTCCCACCACCCTTCTCAAATGGCGTCCTCAAACGCCACAAACCTCGCCACCTCCACCACATCAACCCCATGCCGGTGGTCATCACTTACCGGGAATGTCTAAAGAACCACGCCGCCGCCATGGGCGGACACGCCGTCGATGGATGTGGCGAGTTTATGCCGTCGTCTACTTCCACCCCCACCGACCCAACTTCTTTAAAATGTGCAGCCTGTGGTTGTCATCGGAACTTCCACCGGCGTGACCCTGATGAAACGTTTCCGAACAACCCACCTACTCAACACGTCATCGAGTACCAACCCCACCACCGCCACCACCCGCCACCACCGCCTCCACAACCAATTTCACTCGCCGGAGCTAGAGGAAACAGTAGTAGTCCACCGGATTCTCCTTCCCCACCTCCGATCTCGTCCTCTTACTACCCATCAGCACCACACATGCTACTAGCTCTCAGCGCTGGATTATCCGCTCCGCCACCGGAAAACATGAACAACCCTTCAATTCCGATCACCCCAGGCTCCGCCCCCGGCATCGGGTCACACCCTAATGGAAAAAAACGATTCCGAACGAAATTCACTCAAGATCAGAAGGATAAGATGCAGGAACTGGCGGAACGAGTTGGGTGGAAGATGCAGAAGAGAGATGAAGATTTGATTATCGGATTCTGCAACGAAATTGGTGTCGAAAAAGGGGTTTTCAAAGTCTGGATGCATAATAACAAGATGAATTTGGGAAGCAAGAAGGATTCCGGAAACCAAAACGACAACGGATCTTACGGTGGCGCTGGCGCTGGCGCTGGCGGTATTGATTTCTTAAGCAATAGAGATAACAACGACAACCACCATCACCACCACCACCACCAGCAACAACCGCACAACGACAGTATTAGCAGCGGCGGCGGTAATGTTATCGGAACTAATGGCTCATCATCATCATCTTAATTAATCACGATTATGGATAATAAGCACTTGTTTAATTAGAGATAGCAAGAGAGAAGAACAAGAGTATGAGGCTGCTGTTGTTTCCATTTAGTTACTTAAATTAGAAACCTTTTTTGTTAATTATTAATTAATTAATATATTAATGACGAATTATCCAAAAATAGAAAGTTTAGTAGGATCTTGATCCCAATAATACTATGATTTCATTTAATATTCCATTACTTTCTTTAATCACTAAAATCAATGTGGGATCTTGAGTATTCAATTCCTTTTTTTAATGATTCTTATAACATCAACCCTAATCTATCTTTAATTAATATGTTTATTCTTTTTTCGTATTTATATATCAATTACACGTATTCCGTTTAATGTATAACGTCGTGTGGATGTAGACTCGGTGCACCGATAGGCACGTGAGCGAAAATTGTTGGCTCAAGGTGGTCGATAACGGGTTGATTGAGTATCTGAATCCGACGTTAACAAGCAATACGTTCGAAACAGTACTAGTTGTTTATCTGCGTAATGCAGTAAGATTTAAAATTTTGAGTACGTGTTATGGTTTCCAAATGACATGAAACGTGGTGTGGCGGAGATGTCAAGTTTTTTCAGGCCTCAGGAGCCACAATGACAAGCGATATGTTCAAAACAATACTAGTTGTGTATCTATGTAGTGTAATGGGATTTAAAATTTTGAGTATGTGTTATGGTTTTAAATGACATGAAACGTGGTGTGGCAGCGATGTCAAGTTTCAAGCCTCAGGAGCCACGACAAGGTGACGACATTTGTCAATGTGTGACGGTTTATATATATTATATATAATTACACACACACACACATATATATATATATATATATAGGAGAGCGATCAAATGGAAACCACTTAATTTGTAAAAACCGTAAAAACCTTATTCCACCAATCATAATTTTTTATTTTGTTCATTTTTTGTAATTATAAGAGGTTGAGTAATCATTTTTATTGTGGAAGATGTTAATCATGGATATTATTATCTTCGTTATTTTAATTTTAAAGAAATACATGAAACGGTTTCATTAAAATTTCATTAAGTAGTACATGAAATAATTAATTTCATAACCATATATGAAACAACTTCATCAAAAAAAAAAATATTATATGAAACAATTTCACAAGATAAACAATTTAATGAAAAAATTTCATAAGATTACGACGGATGAGAGTAGTTTTTACGGTTTTTATAAATTGGAGTGGTTTTCATTTGATCGCTCCTCTCTCTCTCTCTCTCTCTCTCTATATATATATATATATATATATATATATAGGGGTGGGTT